TAACGAAGTGTGGACATTCCTTTATGTATCTAGCACAACCGCTAGGCTTTTCAGTTCCAAAATCAGCAAATAAAACGACATAACCTGTCAAGGCTATCAAGAAAGTTTATTCAGTATAAAAGTGACAGCATATTTAAGTTGACTTACAAAGAGAAAGAACCCAAGATAAAACTTGGATTTGTCTAGCTCTGGGTCGAGGCTCCATTGCTTTAGGCATTTGAAGTCTACGCATAACACGTTCTTGTGTTTCTTCTGTAGGAATGGGATATTGTCGTGGTGTAGGATGAGGTGCCATTTTGTTAATGAGAGAAAAAAAAAAAAAAAAAAAAGAAAAAAAGAGAGGAAAAACTGGGGGGTTCTGTGTTCGAAAAAAAAAAGGTAGAGAAAATATCATTGAGTCAGTCACGGCTGTTTAATTTTTATAATTGATTTGTAAAGTATTGCTTGATTTATGCCATTTAAGATAGTGTTAGAGACTAAATAGGTTTAAAGTAGCAACCATAGAGTACTTGATAGATATAGTTATTTATACAATGTTAACTTACCTGTCAATTTTAGTTTATATACTATTTAAACCACTATTTTCATTCGTAAAATGACTACTATCAGATTGGCAGCGAGTACAGTATTTTTCGATACTCTATGTGTGTTAAAAATATAAAGATAAATACTATAGTTATTTATTATGGGATAAGGATACGGTATGGTGGAATAGTGTAAATATATGGCTGGAATAAATGAGAAGAAGTGATCTTAGTTTTAGAAGACAGGAACTCATAGAGCGATGAGTATAGGAACTACAGAAGCAGTGCGTGACAACGAGTTGTAATTTGGTGTCCAAGAGTCAAAATAATGGTACAAAACCAAGTCAAGTGTCAAGGTGGCGATATTATTGTGGAGAAACTTTAAAGCGTAGAAGCACCCGCCTAAAGTTTTTAATACTTTTGAGGCTAAATTTGCTGGAATGTGTCCTTGATTGCCAGTTTTAAAATGGGAGATTTTACTGCAAAATATATAGAAATTTATAGTACAATTCAGTATTTATAGATAGGCTGGCTCTTAAACACCTGGAACGGTGATCAATAACCAACTAACACTCCGAGTTCTATTATAAACAAAGCGAAGTCTGAATTTGACACATCTTTGCATCTGGTACTCTATGACGCTTTAGTGTTTAGTTCTATTCAAATGTGTATACAAATGGCTTTAGAACTAGCAATGGGTAGAGTTGCTATTTATGTTTCAATTTTATCACTGCCGTCTTTTTTTTTTGTAACGTTTGGTCTGTGGTGCGTTAGACCATAGGGTAAACCTCAATGTAAATACTAAAACAAAATAGTACAAGTGAGACGGGATTCGAACCCGCGACCTTCTCCTCCGGAAAGAGATGATATAATCCACTTATCTACTCACTCCCAACAACAACCGGTGTGGTTTTAGTTTTCTTTTAATCCTATTTCAAAAACACTGCGAAAAAAAAAATCTGGTTTAAATGATCAATTTAGAAACGCGAATTTGATTTTTCATCATCACATGGAGAGAAAACGTTCTGTTTAAATCAAAAATATTCTTGTTTTCACTGATTAAATATCATTTTTTACTGTTTGAAAGAAGAAGCTGAATGCATTTAACGGATTATATTGTTTCCTCTGTCTTTTAAAAGTGAAAGTATCACTTTACTATTTGAATAGCAATTCAATTTCCATCTTTTACAGCCCAGTTTTTTTTTTTTTTCCTTCTTGCTCGCTATGCTACATTCGATACTTTATTATTATTATTATTCATTTAGACAAGCATTAGAATGCATTTGTATGCATTTGATAGTTGCTTGAAGGAATAGAGAAACCAAAAAAGCTGAAAATAGCACCAATTCAACCTCAGACAAACGTTCGCATTTTGCCAATGCCAGTGAATGATGGGCTGTATTGTACAATGGAAATACTGTTTGATTCTCAAAACATGTACATAAATGATAATGAAAAGGAAACAGAATGCTTTGCATACTTTTACAAACTTTTATTTATGCACAGTTTAAAAGGATATTCAGTTGAATCTCAGCGTGATCTTTTGATGACGTGACTGTCGATAATAGACGCGCAAGCAAGTAAGCGATCTGGCATGAGATGCTTATTGTTATTTCTTTTTTTTTCTTACTACTACATAATTTTTAAATAAAGATGGTAAGATATACTTCTTTGGTATATACATGAAAGACCTTTATTTAAACAGTTCTTTCCATTATTCTAGTCTTTCCGTATTGCACCTGATTCACACACTCCTCAAGTCAAATCTACCTTTGATACCACACACGCTGAACTTGGTGGTCATGACGCTTTGCGTTATGGTGTTCGTTCCATCAAGACCGAAGTTATGCCTGGTCATCCTCTTGAAAATAGATTGAATCAGGTAAGCTATTCTTTTAAAAAAAACAAGAAAGAAAGAAAAAAAAAGCTAAGCTAGACCATTGATTTAGTGGGAAGAAACACAATGGGAATTAAAGTTGAATTTGGCACGCCAAGCTTATGGCATGCACGCTCCTATTAAAATGATGATGGAAAAGAGCATAGTTGAAAAGGTAGTGTCTTGCTATTATGATATTCATGTTTAGTATACACTATTTACACACTATTTCATAAAAATAAATAGCGTCAACATATGCCCATGTTTCCCTCATCCAATTTACACTTGGATATTTTAATGGGTAAAGACGAAACAATCGATTATGAAGACTTCCTCAACGGTAAAGTATATCAGAAATGCTGTGGATTGATATCTTAAAATACTCATCATCATCATCATCACTTTATTGTTATTATTATAGATCCTTCCATGTCAACTGATGCTTTGGATGTTCACACTTCAATGGAACGTAAACTTAACTTGAAAGTGTAAATAAGAAAAACGAGTTTGGAACGATATAATAAAAACAAGATATAAAAACATAAAGGGGGGGTGATTTATTTATTATTGTATTTGTCATATATGGTTTATTTCTTGACTTCATCAACAGAACATAAGAGAACTCTGGCATCAATCAATTGGTTCTCTTCTACTCTCATTGTGACTACACCGTCGTGACGACTAAGAATCTTGACTTCAGTTTTCATAGATTCAATAGACAACAATGGTGTATTCTTCTTGACATGAGTACCAGTTGGAGCGAGGACCTTAAGAATACGACAGGGCATAGAAGATGTATAGGGTGTAACTAAAAAAAAAAAAAGAGAGAGAGATGTTGGATGATGCATGTTTAAGATTCTATATATTATAATTTACCTCTATCATCCTCAGACTGAGCTGCCTTACTTAAGTGTCTATCAACCTTGACTAGCTCGACCTGATGGCCTTGAGTAAAGTCATGGACAAAAATGGATTTATCATTTACATCACGTACAACCTCAGCGACATAGAAGATTTGTTGAACACCATCTAGTATATATGTATAAATAAAATGATGTAAAAAATAGATAAACAGTGTTTAGACTTACCAATGGTTGTGCGTAAAAGACCCTTACAACCTTGAATACCTCTAGGTCCAGCAACCTGTTTACCAAGATCAGTCTCAAAGAGCACAGCATTGATAGTCAGTTCCTTGACATCTGTAGCTGCCTGTGTCTCCTCTTTGGCAAGTACTTCAGCCTTGAACAAATGGCGTTTATCATTAGCAGCCTCTCCCTGATAATCATATTGGATTTGCAACTCTTTATCATGGTTCACCAAGAAATTGATCTGTTTGTTGCGCCACTTCATATTACGCCAACCCGTCTGGACATTACGCAAGTGGACCTGTTGTTCACGTCTGATGCTCCAGTCAAACAAGAGAGCAGCGACCATGCTGTTTTTGACTGTGCTGATGGATGGAGTAGGGAAGAGACGCTCCTTTTCGAGACCAATAAAGTTTGTATCAAAGGTACCAGACTGGAAGCGTGGGTTGTTCATGATGCTAATGAGAAATTTCTGGTTGGTGGTGACACCTACAATAACGGTTCTGGCCAGCACGCTAGCCATGCGTCTTACAGCCTCCTCACGGGTGGGTGCATGGACAATGACCTTGGCCACCATGGAATCATAGTAGATGGAGATCTCGGAACCATCCTCTACACCGGTATCAAAACGAACGCCAGGAATATCCTGAGCAGCATTAGCAGGGCTCCATTTTTGGATGACACCAGTACGAGGACCAAAGTCATTGTCAGGGTCCTCGGCACAGAGTCTAACCTCGATAGCGTGGCCCTTGAATTGAATGTTGTCCAATACACCCAACTCCTTGAGATTAACACCTTGTGCTACCAAGAGCTGGAGTTCCACCAAATCCAAACCAGAGATACATTCGGTAATAGGATGTTCAACTTGAAGACGGGTATTTAATTCCAAAAAGTAGAACTTTTTGTTCTTTTCATCAAGAATAAATTCTGCGGTACCGGCACCTTCATAACGTAACTTACGACCCAATTCAACCGCAGCAGCTGTCATTTGCCTGCGGAGATTATCATCAACAGCGGGAGAGGGGGTTTCCTATTTATTTTAATTTTTTGTGGGGTAATCCAGATTAGGAAAAAACAAAATGACAAAAGAAAAACAAAGTGTGTGTGATTTTACCTCGACTACTTTTTGATGGCGTCTCTGAACAGAGCAATCACGCTCATTGATGTGATAAACATTACCATACTTGTCACCAAAGATTTGAATCTAAAAGGAATGACTAAGTCACTTTTTCTTTTTTCTATAAAGTGGACCAACTTACTTCAACGTGACGAATACTCTCAAAGTACTTCTCAATCAATAGTTGATCTGAGCCAAAAGCGCGAAGTGCTTCACCTTGAGCAGCTTCAATTTCTTCCTTTAACCTTGTTGTAGCCAATAATTTTAAATTAAATTTTTCGAATTTTTTAGGGTTTTTCAGGGAAAAAATTGAATGCAATAATTTCACATGAATTTTTAAATTTGATAATACAGAAAAGAAAACTTACTTTCCCGTCTCATAAACAGCACGCATACCCTTACCACCGCCACCGGCAGAAGCCTTTAAAAGGACAGGAAACTCTATTCTCTTGGCTTCCTCCTCCAATCTTGCCACTGATTGATCCTGTCCATTATAACCAGGAATAAGTGGGATAGTATTTGCATTTTCTGTAATGAACACCTTTGCAGCAATCTTATCGCCAATAGTACGGATGGAATCAGGTTGAGGACCAATAAAGTTAATACCAGAAGCAATTACTTTATCGGCAAAGTCAGCATTTTCAGATAAAAACCCATAACCCGGATGAATAGCATCTGCACCTGATCGTTTACAGACTGCTATTAATTTATCACCATCGAGATATGACTGGGAAGCAATTGAGGCGCCAATATGATAGGCTTCATCTGCCATTTTGACAAAGGGTGCGTTTTCATCGCTATATATATATATATATATATATATATATTATATTTTTAGAAAATAAAAAGGGGAAGGGAATCCTATTACTTTCTTTACCTGTCAGAGTAAACAGCAACTGTTGCAATGCCAAGCTTTCTACAGGTACGAATGACTCTACAGGCAATTTCACCACGATTGGCAATCAAAACTTTATAAATGGGTGCCATTTCTTATATTCAACAAATGATGGAAAAGCAAAGGAAAAATAATAAAACTGAAAAAAAGAAAAGGAAGCATTTTTATTTTTTTTATTTTATTTTATTTGTGATTGTGTGTGAGAATAACACGCTTAGTCAATGATATTTAATTTCCTTTTTCAAATAATTGAAAATGACAAGCTTTAACCCTTCGGCACATGAAAGTGGCATTACTCATACTAAATAATACAAAATTTAGCTTTTTCTCACAATCAATTTTCTTTTTTATACCTTTCTGACTTCCATGCCATCTGGTGGCTTGATTTCTGTTGTTTGCTTGCCAATCTCATCCCAGTTGGTAGAGAGACAAGTACCGTTACTCTCAACAAAGCTCTTCATCATCGCACGCTTGGTATTATCATCGGCATTCTTGTAAATGTTTTGGAATAATGCATTCAAGGCTGCTTCTCCTTTGTCTTCTTCTTCATCGACTGTGATCTTGTTCCAGTCCTTGGCCTTCTTTACAGGAGTTGTGCTTGAGGTAGCCACTAAAAAATGAAATATTAAAATACCAAGCATGAATATCACTAAAAAAAAAAAACTTACTTTGTGTACCGATATCGTTCTCACTTTCCAAAGCACCCCACATAATACCAGCAACCTTTTTCTTGAGCTTAATCTCAACCTTTGTTGAAAGTACCTTGTAAACTGATTCAGAAGGAATGATGGCCTGAGCAAGAGGATCCAATTCAAGTGAATAATCAGAACCACTGGGCATTTTAATAGATAAGGAAAGCTTTTTTATATACAAAAAAAAAAAAAAAATACGAGTTATTATGTAATCATCCGAAAAATA